TAAATTTATCAGCTAAAAGCAAATGATGAAACTAAAAATCTCATCATTTAAGAAAGAACTGGAGAAGGAACTGTAGTGATTTAAATTGCAACTCACAACTTTATAAAAGGTCTCGGAAGGAAAAATTTATGAATCTTTTTCAAAACAATTAATTTTGGAGCTAGTAAGCAAAAAACACAACACTGAAATTTATTTTGAAATTCAAAGGTAACCATTCATTTAGAGCCAAACAAATAAAGAAATATATTTTAATTAAAGCATTTCTTAATTGCATAAATTTCGCTATAATTAAACATTCGTCAAAAATGCAGAAGACAATGCATTCTTCTAAATGCACTAGTTATGTTATAGAAATCGAATGAAGAAAATCCTTCCGACAGCAGTATAAAATTGACCACAACATTATTAAGTAGAAATACTGAATGAAAATAATTTTTAATTTTTTTTTCTTTTGACCCGATGTCGGAATCGAACTCTTTGAATGTAACAATGAAAAATTCGGGTTTACGTCGAACACTTCGGAAACACCGGTTGCCGAATTGAAAATTTAATAATCTCTTGCTAAAACATTAAGAAGCTAAAAAGCTAAAAAAATTAGAATTTTTCTTTTATACTGCCATTGATGTATTGAACATTTCTTTATATGAAAGAGGAAAATGTTCTCAAAAACCTTCTGAAAAGAACGTAATAGTCTATGGAACTTCTGTAATTTATGAAACTGAGCTTCCATTTCTTTAACACTGGAATTTTATTTCGCAGCCCTTCTGCTTTCGTTAACTTCTACTTTTCTATGCTATCATTCTATTCTTTGTTTGTATAAAATACGTAGACTTTGAAAGTTCTGAAACAAGTTACGTAAATGAGTTTTGAAAAGGTTATAAACGAAATCGAGTTATAACATGATTGTATTATTTAGCTTTTAACTTTATTGGAGAACTCAGTAACTAAGTTCTGCAAGAGCACGGGCAGTGTGGATTTTTCACATTTTTCATCCATTAGTCTTCAAGGAAAAATTAAATTTTGCAGTTCAGACAATGCTGAAACACGGACTAAGCTTTTAGGAAATTACTTCTTCCCGCTCTTTGGTTTATCTTCGAAATTAATTTAAGAATAATTTATTAGAATAAACTGTAGGTCATTACCTCACTACCAAGAATTTGATAAATTACTCAAAGCAATTACAGCCAGTTAATGCAGAAAAATTTAACATCACACTTCAATGAATGATAATAATTTCTGTTCCTGAATTTTACGTTAGCAATGTCTTCAGTGGCAGAAATATTAAGAACACAAATTCCAGAAACGAATGAATGACAGAATATTGTCCAGAAATTTTGTAATGCTTCAGTGAATATAATCTGGAAAACTGTTAAAATTAAAATCAATAACAGATATTTGAGTTAGGTTAGTAGAAAATAAAAATATTAAATACAATAGCATGATTAAAATGATATTACGAACTTTAGTGACATAATAGTAGAATTTAGTATAGGAATTTTATAGAAATATACTTTAAGTGTGCCTAAAACCTGCAGAACAACTGTTCAGTGTTAAAAACTATTTCATGAACTTATTCTTGTTGAACAATTATTTTTCACTGAAAACAAGGAATAATTAATAAACGCAAACTGTTATTTATATTCTAACGCTATGAGCACACATCAATCTCCTAGAGTAAAATTTTTTAGTCTAAAATACGATCACTTACCACGCATAAAGAAGCACTTTTAACTGCTTTCAAAAACAGATCACTGAGTTGAATTGCTTTCTGCATACAGAAAGGTATTGCTTATCCAACTTCGCTCATCCGACATACTGTAGCAAAGAGGGGAAAAAAACACGTCGGTCGGTAACAAAAACTGCAATTTGCGAAGGCAGTTTTATTTATTAGCCGAAAGGGCGTTAGCCCACAAAGGCTATTAATTTTGTTTTGCCATTTTAGATTGAAAACTTTAAATTTCCGTTTCAGGTTTTAAATTGTTGCCGCCAAATATTATCGCTCTGTGTTATATTTAAATAAATTAAATAATGAAGAATCTGTCTAATTATATGTATGTTTCTGGCACTGTGATAAAAGAACAGTGCAGATATCATATTTTGAATAACGTATTACTCCACCTAATATGGGCACCTGGAAGCAATTTCGAATTTGTTTTATTACCTATTTTATATTTTGTAAAACTTTAACCAAATTTTTGATTAAAAATCTCAACGATTTTAAAGCGAGTAATGCAAACACATTTTTTGCCAAAAAACATTTTTGTCTGTCAGCGCGCGAGACTGTGCATCGGAAATTCTAAAGATATACTCTTTTGGGTGTAATATAAAATCTGAAAACTTTCAATTTTCTTTATATTACATTTTATTTATTTATTTATTTATTGCTGCTCTACACTCTTCCTCATGGCGCACCCGTCTTACTCTGTGACTAATGAGTCTGTCATTTAGTGCGTGCTATTTACAGTTGTGTTCGACTATTCTTTTCATCCGTATGTGTCTGTGTATGTAGTGTCTAATTTGAAAAACACTATTTTTTAACATTTAAATTTACCCAAGTACAGAAAGAATGGCGATGAAGAGAGAGAAAAATGTTACATCCGTGGAACAAAACTATAAAGCAATCAAACGGCTGGTCAACGGGGAGATAATACGAAAGATAGCTGACAATTTTGACGTGAGGTGGATAACAGTTAGAGACGGGAAAAGTAACTGAATAGAAATTGAAAAATGATAGGCATCAAGATTTAGTGAGTGTGCATTAAAACAGAGAAAAAATGTGACAATGAAAACGTGAGTGAAGCATTGTACGTTTGGTTTACACAGTTCTAATATACATTTGTGCCTATTTCAAGGCCTGTTTTTTTCACAAATGGCATTGTATTTTCGTTATTATATCAACGAAGGGGTCTCGGATTTTAAAGCAAGTGCCGGTTAGCTTGACCGATGGAAGATAGGTCGCAGTATTTGTGAGTTAAATATTTGTGAGGAACCACTATTGTTTAATTTTCAAGAATTAGAAGCATTCAAGAAAACACTGCAGGAATTAATTGAAATTAAAACCCCAAGGTATGATGAGATATTTAATTCTGATAAGTCAGGTCTTAATTACAAAATGTTACCTAGTAAGAGTCTTCCAACCGCAAATGAAGAAGCAACCCTTGGCTATAAGCGTAGTAAGGAAAGCTGCCAATTTTGGTACGTAGTAATGCTACAGCAAATTTCAAAATGGATCCTGTAATGATTGAAATGTTATCAAGTCTTACAGCCTTTAAATAGGTATCAGAAAACGCTTCTCCTCTCAAATACTGTACGCAGAAAAGCGTAGGGATAAACAGCAGAATTTTCAAACTTGTCACATAAAGAATATCAAGAAAAGCTGCTTTGTTGCTAGACAATGCTCCTACATACCCTGATGCAGAAGAGCTTCAAATTGGTGACATTAAGGCAATGTTTCTTCCCTCCCCCCTCAATGTAACCGCCATAAGACTACCTATGGATCAGGTCATTTTGGAAACGATGAAAGGTAACTATCGATGGGAACTGCTACCTAAAGTGATAGAAGAAACTAAAGAAGGACAAGACATCATTGCAAAATTAAAGCACATCAATATATAAGGATGTTGTTTATTGGGTTTTATGAGTCTGCGCTGACGTAAAGACTACAACAATTGCCAAACCATGTAATGATGGAAGTATAAAAACAGAAAGCACAGATGAAACCCAAAAATCCATTCTACGCATGGCAACTTATCTTTGGAAGAATCGAAAGTTGGTTGAAGGATGCTAAACAACATGAAATAGCTCGTGAAGAACTTGTTGCTCTTGAAGGTTGCGATGAAAACTAGATAAGCACCTGTTATTGAGCCTCCCAAAATTTCGCTTTATGACGAAGTTAAGTTTGTAGAAATTGCAATTAAATATGTTGAGTAACAAGAAGAAGCTACAGGAATTGATATAATGCTACTGCAAAGATGGTGAGACTTGGTAGTGAAGAAATGGAATTCGTCAAGAAAGAGGCTACTATCAAAAATATCTTTCAATCGTCACAGAACTGAATTTTTGAAGTACTGTACGTACTGTATTTAATTTTAGAGAATTCTCTGACTGTACGCTCATTCTCTCAGTTAATGTTTCATGTTTTGCAGTAAAGCATTATTATTAGACTAGTAATGTGTAAAATCAGTAACACAGTTTGACTTTTAATAGTTTTTTCCCCCCGTAACACCCGTCTATTACCTGGCATTTTGGTTTATCCCAAGTCAGCTTGTTTATGTCAGATAAGCGAGACTTTGTTCTCTCTTTGTTAATAAATAAGGAAGAATCTGTATATATGTATGTGTGATCCTCGTAATGTGGATCAGCAGCGTCGACTAAAGCCATCAAAACTTAAGCGTATGTCGTCCTTCATCCAAACTAGTTTTGCGACTTGGCAAGGAGCAAGATGCACTTTTATCTTAATCAAAATCCCGAGAACCATAAGATATTTCTCTTTGAAATTTAATCAATAAAGTCAGTGATTTAACAGAAATACGTAACCATAGCCCCAAATAAAATATGTTCATCTTCTTCTAGCCAATATGTTGCCACTCAGCATATTATTAATAGTTACTAGTTGGGCCCTGAAATTATAAAGATAATCGGCTTATCATAAGATTCACTCAGCTAGTCATCTTTCTGAAGCTTGTTTAGATTCGGAAGGATGTTAAGAACTGTCATTTAACTTTCAGAAAAAGTCATCGCCCAACGGTTTGTGCTATCGATGGTTCCCTTGATGTAGGTCTAGTGTCTTAAATTTTAAACAAATTGTGTCTTTTGTACATATTCCCTTTTTCGTGTATCTTATATATGGAGTGAATAAAGCCTCCTTCAGTTTAGCAACTGTTTCCTGATTAATGAAACGATCACAGAATAACGTCACAGAGGTTGAAAGGTTTGTCACTGTACAGGCACCTTAGCTAGCAATTCCAATTTATTCAATTCAAAATGGAGAAAATGGTTACCGTAGAAGTCAATTGGCTCGTAGTAGATCTGCACCAACTGTATTTCATCACTCTCTAGGAGATCGAGGGCAGTTAGTAAAGCCTCCTTTGTGTCCTCGTTGACTGTCGGCCAGGAATAACCCACGTACTTATAATTCCTGCAGTAAGTCGGTCTCCTGCCTTTGATTTCCACCTGCAAGAAGAATATCCATCCCCTAATCTAAACACAGATATTAGTACAACATTTTCATTGTTTTCTTTATGATATACAGAAGATCCTAAGCGATTATTATAGCGCTCATATTTATAATGCGATTATAGCACCGTAGAAAAAGATTTTTGACACATTGATATAATTTCATATAATTAAGGTTTGGATTAGAAATCTATTATATCTTTAATTAATATCTGCTCTATAAAGACGTAGATCAATGATCCTAAACAGTGTCCATCAAATAGGCGTATCACATATTTTCATGCTTGGCGAAAATATTTTCTTGAAAACTCCACCTGAGTTCGGACAGTTTTTAAACAGGATGGATTTTTAGAAGAAAGAAAAAGAAAGCTAATATGAAAAAAATTTAATTTTCAGATATTTATATTGCATTTTTAGTCATGTGTTCACATATAAGGAAACATCTTGATACCGTGAAATCTAGTGAGAATTTATGAAAGAAATAACTGAACTACACGCGTTTCTTTTTGATCTTCTGCCAGGTCTTGTGTCGAATGGTCATCTTAAAATATATGTTGGGAAGCTATTTCTGAGAAAGAAGACAAATTTTGTAACAATCATACCGATGAACACATAGAAATATTTTGATATCTGTCAACAGAGGCGCATTAAAATATGTTCCTTGTCTGTGAACTAAAGAGAAATCAGTTTTGTTTGAAGAGATGAAATACTTTTGATTACAGCCTTAGCAGATTAGTTTTCATTTTGAACTAAACGACTCAGAACAACTTTTTTCCTCAAGTGCAATAAGCTGCTGTTTAGCAAAGAAATACATTTAGCATTTTCATGAGTCACTTTTCCGTAAGGCGTAGAGTTACTTAGACTAGGCGACTTACTTAGACTATATATTAGTTAGGCTTAGAGTATATTATACCTACAAAGTTATGTGAAATCTATAGTTTACTTAAAAATATTAAATATAGAAATGTTTTCTCGTTTAGAAGCATGAAATGCTTAAAGTATTTCCTCCATTCTTACCGCGACCTTCGTAGTGTAATAGAAAATGCGTCGAACTAGTAATCGGAAGTTTCCAACTCGAATCCCGACGAGGACTTGGCACAATTCTCATGCTACCTAATTAAAAAAAATTCTGAGACTCTACAAACATTTTATATTCAAAATGCATTTTAACAGACAAAAAATAAAATTATTTTTACGATTAGAGGACATTTTTAAAATTCAATGTGTGCATTAGAATTTTAAATTTTAGAAAAAAAATAAATAAAACTACTCTGAAATGAACTATAATTCCCATTTTTATCGCCCCTCAAAAATGTATTGAATTATAAATTTGGGGTTCCATATTTAATAATTTCAGTAAATATAATTGTCTTCCTGTTGCGCGTCATCGAACCGAATCTTTTAAACTTATGTCTATCATCATTTTCAAAATACTTGATTTTATCATGCGGTGAAGATTATATTAAAACATTTTACCTGACAGCCATCCCACCAATAAAGTGCACTTCTCAGTCCATGTTTTTCTGCGGTAATCCAAATCGGTTCAGCCCAGTTCCACCAGTGGGGAATGGAAGCTGTGTCATTAGGTCCCATTAGAAAGAAGTCCCCGTAATGTGAGTCATACATCATGTTCTGTACAAAACCGTGACTTTCAGCATATAGACCTGTAAGTAAAATGAAAAATTAATTTTCCTCTTAAAATTATACTTTTTAAGAATATTTAAACTCCTTGTGCACCACATAGTATTGCACAAAATTTACAGAGGTAAGTTATAAAAACAAACAATACGACAATGCAGCAACAAAAGTATGTTAAAAATTCACAAATGAAATGTAAACAATAAACATACAGAAAAAAGAGAATGCCATTTTACTTTGAAAAAACATATATAAAGGAGAATAAACTTAATGTTTAAAGCATTTAACCGGGAAATGAGTTCTTTCTTAAGCTCTGAACAGTAGAATAACAAATATTCGACATGAACATTCATGATAGATACGACAGCCATGGGAACGATCGACTCGCGTGAGACTGCCTGGAAATGAACGAAGTGCAGTATTTACACACAAGCAGTCACGCAGATGTTTCAGAATATTCGAGACTGACCAATACTTGATATCTAGGGATATTCTTCAAACATGAACGTACAAAGTTAGTTTCCAATTTTGATAGTGATTGCTTTCGACAAATGTGCAAGGTTCCAGTTCTTCAGACTGCGAATTCGTGAATGTGTTCCATATTTCTAAACTCAGAATCCAGACTCTCTATAGAAGTTCAATGGAGTAAGATCCAGGGTTCTAGTGAATGCAGAATTGAGTCAGTCCCTTTTACACAATACATTATTCCGAGATACGGATGCCGAGATACGTATATAATAACGATTTCAGATGAACAAAAATACACTTTATAGAAAAAATAAAACTTTTAAAAGCAAGGTAAATAAGTATATAAAAATCCAAAGGTAACAATGAACTGTAAGGAAAATTCTTCTTAACGTAGAATGTATATCGCAGATCAGCGGTGATTATTGCTTTAACCTCACAGAGCAAAGGTAAAGCAACAATCACCGGACAATGACAACTGTACGACTCTGAAATGAATAACTAAACTAACTGACCAACAAATCCAAAATGCAGTAGAAGAGCTTCTATATATATTTTCGGAATCTAATTAAACTAATTTTTCATTTCAAACATGCTCAATTGAGAGTTACAATATAGTATACAGCAAAACATGCGTAATAAACGAAATCGATTAAATGGCTACAAATTCAATTAGTACAAGAAAAAATGTTCAATGAATTTATTACATAAAATACATTAAATAAATAAAAAATAAATAAAATCGACAGTGAATATATATATATATATATATATATATATACATATAAAGAATCATGCTACTATAAAAACCACATAGCAGATATTTACAACAATATTAACACATGAATAATTCATACTCAGTATTTTCTATGCTAATAGCACCATTTCATGTTTTATATTTATTTGTAAAGCATGTATAGCTCACCTCCAGGTCCGTGTTATTAACCAATACTGACTGGTGGTTTCAGTGAGCTACGCATGTATAAATAGGATGCATTTAGTCTTAGTACTTAATTTATAAGGTATCTAGTTACACTGCAGTTAAGTGAACTGCATAGCTTGTTGCAAATAAGAGTAGTAGCTAACTGCTATCAGCGATTTTATCGCCCCAAACATTTTATCTTGAATTGTATCCTTTTTATCAGCCGCCCAAATGGTACAGCGGTTAGGGGAACCGACAGCTATACCGAAGAGACTGGGTTCGAATCCCGGAGGGGGCGTGGATGTAAATTGTCTATCTCCTCATAGGAGATAAGGGTGGCCGCCTATTAGGTGCCTTTATAATAAAATGACCACCTATTCTGGCCTTAGAAGTGACGAAAGCTTAAAAATGGCTATTGACCGTCATAAAAACATCCTTCTCTATGATATCTAAATAAACCTTTATTTTCGGTCCAATAGAACCGATGAAGTTAATAATTTCACAACAGCAGAGCATGGATGTTAATCCAAGAAGCAAGTTAAGTTAAATATGCAAATAGTTGTATTGATCGAAAGGTTGTGTAAACAGTGGCTAATTTAACAAGATAGGTATATTGTGATTCTGTTCGATGGAATAAATTAGATTACTTGGAGTCCGCGTGTTAAAACACTATTTACTGCCAAAGAACTGAACCAGTTTGCAGAAAAAGACATAGACTTAGCAAAAGATTTTGAAGTTGTTAAATGCAAGAAAGCTTATTCACTCCAAATGTCGGCGTTAAATGATCAAATTAAGGCCCCATTTCATATTATAGAGTGCACGGAGAAAAGTCAGAAAAGCAAATGTGGCAAAAGCTTCGTATTATTTACGAGTTTAAGAGTTCAGTGAATCAAATCCTTACTAGAAACGAATGGCAACCATAAAAAGAGTTCTGAAGTGTCGACGAGATAGCATCGCGATGAAATAAACAAGCTTGTAGAGAATTCTGTGCGTAAGTAAGTGATATAGATAAAATAGTTTATATTCTGATGAGTCTTTCACCAGAGTTTGAAGTGTGAAGTTTGCGTCAGAAAATTAACCAAGTGTGAAATTAAACCTGGAGTTTTTTATTATGCGACCTATAGACGCGTGAGCTTGTTGATTAATTCCAAATTTTAAGTTTTATTTGCTTCTTAATTCAGTTTAGTCAGTAATTGAAATTATTAATTTGCTTTATAGTTATAGTTGTAAGTTTTGTAAGTTGTAAACTTTTGGTTAACGGTAAAATTTAAGTTTGGAAGCTTTAAAAGTTTTTCGTTTTTTTCTTAAATTTGTTTAACTTTGGTTTAGGAACTTCACGTTTTTTTTCTTTGGTTTTCGTACTGTTAGTTTTGACCCTTAAAGTTAATTAAACTTTAATATAAAAGTTTGTTTGTTACACATTTTGGTGCGTTAAATTTAATTTGATGAAGTCATAATATTTTACCCCTCTTTCTATTAAAGTATTCATGAATACATATTTTCTGACTCTGGTGGTAAGGTCAAATAAGTGTGAAGAAAGATAACTTTGGAAATGATTACTCATCCTTATTTCAACTGAAGAAACATTTTTATTATTTGTGTGTTTGAACTTAATTTGTCAAATATTAGTTTTTAGTTTTCAGTACCTAAATTGTTTAATTGTGATGAAAATTATATGTTTTTCACGACCAAATTTGTCGGCTTGGAACTAGACTTTTCAGAATTTTCATATCATGAGCAGTCTGAGCCCCCGAATTCCTTTGCCAAAGTGCTTCGCCACATGTTAAATTTGCATATTCTGCGCCCCTTATAGCTTAGATCTCTAGCAGGAAATGTTCTACAAGAGATTACGTCTGTGGGTGGAATTCAGAGCCGTTTGGCTCCCACACCTGTCAGAGTTGCGTCTCGGAGCGAGGCCAAGTTTTCACGTTATCTTTCAGTAGAGAGGTATTTGACCTCTCGCATTGGCCTTCAGAGACAGCACTACAGAATGGCGATGTGCGCCATCTTCTGGAAGCCGGTAATGACTTCTCCCCAGATATTTCTAGTTTGCATACTTTTAGGTCTGCCGTAATTAGGCGACTTTTCCATCATTCTCTTATTCGCCAAATTCACGGTCTCTGTCGAGGAAGAAAAAGGGATTTCTGCATCGTTCGAGAGAGCTTCGGAGCGTGCGACCGAGACCTACCATTGAACCAGCAAGCCGAAAAATTCTTGAGATATTGGCCTTACTGCAAAGGAACACGGAACTGCTGTCCAGGGCGGAGAGCTTCTGATTTGTAAGTGATAAGTGATAAGTGATGGTGGACGTGGGCACTGTCCCTTTGCCGTATGCTTCTGATTTGTAGATGGAGTCCTTTGACGTTAAAAACAACCCTCTGAGAAGGGTGGAGTGCTGAATCAAATTGCTGTCTTTTCCTGAAATAAGAATGGCCAGACGGAACGAGAAGTACGAGAACCTGCCGGAAAGAAGGGGCAGGACGGACAGGAGAGCCTGGCTTCCGACACAATTTGCCTCCATATAATTTCATCAATCCCCTTTCTTTGTTGTTTTTTTACAGATATCCTTCCTGTCTTAATAATGTATGCCGCAGATGATCTGACAGTTATAACTAGAGCCTCGATGTTCAAATTTTATATGAGGTGTTCCCCCTTCCCTCGAATTTGTGAAATTTAATTAATTTTAAAAATAAGTTTTCCATATTGTTTCTTCTGATAATGTTTTTGACCAGCCACCACCTAATTGCCAAATAATGTACTTGTATTTCAATAATGTTTCTAACAATAAACGTTCGATGTTTTTCTTTACATAATAGTTTATTTTAATTTGAACTAATTTAAGACACTGGACTGTAGTTCTAGAACGGGTTTTGAACACCCCTTTTTCTCACAACGCAATTTATATAAGTACTTGAAATTTTTTAATTATGTATGTTATCTCTTCACACCTCATTCTTGCATATTTTGTTCTATCATGCACACCAATGTTCATGAACTGTTTACACCTTACATTTTTCACATGAAATTCTAGAATGGTTATTCATTTATATTGAATTATTACTTTTAATATAGAACAGCTTTTTACAGAGCTTCAAAATTTAAGGATACTAGCCGTACAGTTAAGGATAATGGTGCGTTATCTACAAATAAAAAGAACTTATCTGCTTTTACTATAAAAAGAAAGGATATACTGCATAAATGTATAAGAAAATTTGTTTTTTCAGTTTAAGAAACCTGGATATGTGAAACGTTTTCGTAAATTGTAATCGAAAGCTAAACAGGAATAATCTCAAGCTTCAGAAACAATTTCATTTACTGCAGGTGATTAAATGTTAGAAAGCTTTATTACTGACTCTGAAACAAGTTCTCATATGTGTTCGCGTAAAGAGGGGTTATCTTCCTTTACTGCTCGGTCAGGGAAATTTGAAATGTACTTCGCATTAATCTACTTTAATTGCTAAATGTGTGCGTCATTTGTTTTGGCAAAACATCCAATGGTTTTCAAATAGCCCTCAGAAATATGCTTTCAGTAATAAATGTAAATGATGAACTAATTTTAGTGCGAAATTTTGAAGCCGCAGGTTTCAGTGTGATTTTTGAGGATCAGAAGTGTTAATGTTGTTAAAAAAAGCAATAACA